ATCAGGCTATAATCATAAGTAATTCTTGTAAAAACAAACGTTTGGATTGAAAATTAAATTAGGATGTTCAGGTCAGTTCGCGTGATAGCGTAACTCATAGGAGTTTTCCCGTTACTTTTTGGTGATAATCTTTAACTTGTTGGAACAAAAAAATATCCATTCTGGCAACAATGGGGCAAAAAATGATATCATAGACAAATAAATATCACTAATATCTTCAGTACATTAAGTACATCACAGCTTATAGTATATATATTGGTTGATACAAGTTTTTTGCTGTAGAACAGGACTTGTTTCTATCCCTACACTCTCATACCATTCGTCAGATATTGGACCAGCAATTATTTCATTTCATGGATATTTTGAGATTGTTATGAACATTGACAGATATTTGTTACATAACTGGTGTAAAAACACCTATTGAAATAAAACTTTAAATTATTGTTACATTCCTTCTTTGTTGTTTATTGATGTTTGTGTTTATTGGTAGTTTATTGGTATTTGTGTTTATTGATAGGCATGTCCATATGTGTGTACCTTGTTAATGCATTTACGAGTACCTGCAGAAAGACTTTGACTTTTGAAGTGCAATATTTATATAAGAATAATAATCATGATTTTTCCGTTTTATACTTTAAGATTACCAGATCTTAGTATGTAATTAGTTGTGTAAGACACTAATCTCACTATTATCATAAAAAAGATACTTTTCCAAAAATAAGTCAAAAGATCAACCATTCTGTCAATTATATACTCTTGTATATAGGCAACTATTGGCTGGAATTGATTCCTAAGCAAATGTGATCAATCTGTCTGCTGCTGTCATTTTGGTTTGCCTTTTTTGTCTGTGTAGTTTAGTACGTTTGTAGTTATAATAAAATAACCAATGATTGCATGTTCCATGTCCATGAGTAACACAATTACATCTCATATAAAAATAGATGATTGTGACCCAGTTTTTCTTGCCACAACAACTCAGACATTTCTTTGGAGAGCCCTCACCTCCTATACATCTGATCTTTTATGGTTCTATGGAGGGCGAGACCCAGAGCCTTGACCTCTTATACATCTAATTTACCTTCTATGGTTCTATTGATGACGAGGAACAGAGCCCTCACCTCCTATACATCTTACTGACCTTCTATGGTTCTATAGAGAGTGAGGAGCAGAGCCCTCACCTCCTATACATCTTACTGACCTTCTATGGTTCTATAGAGGGTGAGGAGCAGAGCCCTCACTCCTATACATCTTACCGACCTTCTATGGTTCTATAGAGGGCGAGGAGCAGAGCCCTCACTCCTATACATCTTACTGACCTTCTATGGTTCTATAGAGGGTGAGGACCAGAGCCCTCACTCCTATACATCTTATTGACCTTCTATGGTTCTATAGAGGGTGAGGACCAGAGCCCTCACTCCTATACATCTTACTGACCTTCTATGGTTCTATAGAGGGTGAGGAGCAGAGCCCTCACTCCTATACATCTTACTGACCTTCTATGGTTTTATAGATGGCAAGGACCATAGCCCTCACTCCTATACATCTTGGTGACCCTCTATGGTTCTATAGAGGGCAAGGACCAGAGCCCTCACTCCTATACATCTTATTGACCTTCTATGGTTTTATAGATGGCAAGGACCAGAGCCCTCACTCCTATACATCTTACTGACCTTCTATGGTTTTATAGATGGCAAGGACCAGAGCCCTCACTCCTATACATCTTGGTGACCTTCTATGGTTCTATAGAGGGCAAGGACCAGAGCCCTCACTCCTATACATCTTACTGACCTTCTATGGTTCTATAGAGGGTGAGGAGCAGAGCCCTCACTCCTATACATCTTACCGACCTTCTATAGTTCTATAGAGGGTGAGGAGCGAAGCCTCACCTCCTATACATCTTGCTGACCCACTTTGGTTCTATAGAGGATAAGTTAATGACTATATAAGGTATTTATCACACCGCCAATTAATAAAAATACTCATGTGCCATAAATACTTTCATTACTTAGGTACAAAACAATTACAAAGCTTTACATATTTAAGAAATGAACATTATTCATATTATAAAATCGACTCATCCATGACTGCTTTAAAACTTGAATTTGCCTTTTAGATTTATTGTGTAATGTCATAGCTTCTGTTGAGTGGTGGTGAATTCAGGCTTCAAGTGTTGTGCTTTTTAGTGACTCCCATTAGATTCCCTAGTGTCCAGGTAGAAATGGGACAGACACTTGTCTGATCTCTCTCAAGAAAATGATTAAAACTCTGTATTTAGTTTCTTTTCACTAAGTAAAACAAAAAAACCCACATTGTTTTTTAATGCACCTACATCGGTTGTTGATTTTTGGAATTTTGAAATTAAGCAACTGGACATTATTAAATGGTTTATTCTTCATTAATTTACCATGTTTATTAAAAACAAAATGACATTATTGTCCACAAGCACCTGTTGTATGGCACCATTAATTCCTATACAGCGCCTTGTACACTAATAAGTATAATATTTTTAAATTTTGGTAACTGTATACAAGGAAATACCCCAGTATTTTTTTCTCTCTCTGAGAAAACTTACTTTTTAAACAGTGTAAATTCTCCCAATAGTACATCAAAGACATGTTTCAACTTTCGAATCATTTACCCAGCTTGCTAATTTCTCCCTATTGACCATTTAAGGTCGAAACGGGGAAAGTTGAGCTCGAACACACATTTCCTCTCATACATTTTTTTTTCCACTAGACAAATTCTTTATTTCCTTATGTACAAATATTTCTATTTACATATGTAGTCAATTGTAAACATTTTGCTTTCTAATTTTGATATTCTAGCTCAAAATTTTGCACAATATATATCTAAAGCAGGCATTGAATGCTCACTGCTGTACGTAGAAATTAACGTGCTTATATTTTGTGGTCAGTTTGTTGATTTATTGTGTGCTCTCATTCTGTAATCTCATACATCTACGAAAGTTTATTTAGAATTTTTGAGGAATATTTAATGAAATTGGATATTGTTGGTGTGATGTCTTTTCCCACCCCCTTGAAATCAAGTACCAACATTATATTAGTCTGAAATATATTTAAAACATTAAGATTAAGTAATTATATGTGATAGGATAAGATGGAAGGTAAATTTTATTCTGAGTTCATTACATTACTTTATAATGGAATTCCTTTTAGATGCATCATTACATTAAGGAACACAGCCATGTATGGGGAAATTTGCTCTGTATAAGAATTGGTCTGTACATCTCTGAATTTTATTTTAGGTTTAAGTGTAAAAATTTAAAAAATAATCATTTCTTGAATGGCTTTGAATTCTACTAACTTTTATAGTTCATACTCACAGTATGCTTTTAGATCGTTCTTGTCAAATTATACCCATATAATGGAAAAAAGGCTTATGAAATTATTTAGTGTTTTATTTAAATATTTTGTTAATTCATGACAATAAGAATTTCTGTTGATAATATCTGGCAATTGTCCTCAGATTTCTGAAGAATTTTATTGAATACTTGATAATATTAAAACCAAACAAAACACAAATAGTTTTTGGTGTTATTTTTCATTTAACAAATTCATTTTAAAAAAATCAAATTTAGTTCCTGGTTTTGCAATAAATAACATGTTATCTACAAATATATTATAACTGTATTTATTCCACAATGAACCAACGCTTATTAAGAAGTACATCCACATGTGTAATAATTTCAGTAGAAATGATGACAAATGTTTTATACTTAAATCAATCCACCTCCCAACATTGAGTCAGAAGCAATTGATAGATCCCTTGGGCCTGTTGTATAATGAATCACGTAAATTTTAAATATAAATGTTAGATATTAAGATAGAAATTCTTTCAGCTGCCAGGTGCCACAGATTTTATCCCACATGACATGTCTGGGATAGTGCTTTATTTTGATTATGCTGTGCTAAGGTTTTGCCACTGATTGTTTGTTAAAAGTTTCCTTGCGATTTTTCTTTTGTCTCTTTCTTTTCTTTGTTAATCTACTTTAACATTCGCCACTGTTGTAAAACGTATTGTTTGTGCATGTTTTGTTTTCGTAGAATTCCCTAGGATATATATTGTAGACACACTAACACTTCAGATCATAATAGCTTAAATACAATCTATAACAAACACATTGATTAGTGCCTGATTAAACTTTAATTTGATTATTGATAATGACGTTTAAAAATTTAAATAATTGTCTAATTAGTTTATTAAATCAATAATCAACTTCCTGTAATTTAAAAAAAAAAGTTCTTCTAATGATAAAATATGGTAATTTTATGCAATTAATTTGTTTTCTAAAATTATTTTCAATGATGAAACATATAACTTACCACTAAAGTTCAATGTAATCAGTCTGTATTGCTTTTTGTGCATGGTACAATATTTTATACAGTAGCCCACGATACCCGGTTTCTTATATAATGGTGAGTTTGTTATAGAGTTCCTCAAAGTAAAATTTAAATGTTTATACTGTTGTCAGATTTTATCCTTAAATCAAGGGCACTTAACTTCACTCACAAAAATGTTTTTCAATTTGAAAATTATTCATGATAGGAAAATATGACTTAAAGAAATTTTCTTACAAGATATTTTTTTCAATTGCAATGAAATCCTTACAAATTGCCTAAGTGCTCAAGAAACCTCATGCTTACTCTTTATAACTTTAAATTATTGTGTAGTGTTTGCTTTCTCTCAGATTAACTCAGTCATGAAGAACCTTGATCCTGAGAATTAGTTTCATAAGATAGCTGAGATAGTTTGATACATAAACAAATTAATTGAGATATTTTAGCAAAGTTTTAAGTAGCAAGAATCACTGGAAGGAATAATTCTTTAATTAAAAAAATATCTTCTAGCCAGTTTTTCTAGCACCTCTCAGTTTATAACCAAAGAACATTGATGAAATGGAGTTCAAAAGATAATTGTGTATACATGTATGAAATGTGACAAAACAAATATACCTACACTGATATATTCTGGTGTTTCAGCTTGAGGAATTTGACTATAGTAAGGAAAATTTTGACGAGATACAAATGGTGTTTATTGAACAACTTTCTGGGGCTAACTCACCCTGTGATACAGAAGAGAAACCTGCCCCACCCTATCAGGGCATGCAATTCTCTGAGGATCAGTCTGAACCCTCGCTGGAGAAGCCCTCTCCACCTTTGGAGCCTGAGGGACCTCCAGCACAGGAGTTCGTTGGTAGAGACTCTAGGCAAGGAAGTCCCAGAATCCCTCAAATGCATGATGGAAAAGCCAGTATTGAAGAGGATTGGTTCCCTGACAGCGAACTACCAGGTGAGTAGGTTTCTATGTAATGTTAAACCTATATGAAGGTAAAATAGGATGCAGAAACAACTTGATGGTCAGGTGGCACAGTGGTAATGCGCTGACCTTCCATCTAGCTGTTTGCGGCTTGATTCAGGTGTGGATTCACTTGTCAGACCATTTGGGTTTTCCCCTGATACTCCAGTTTCCTCCCACAGTAAGGCCTTTCACGTGCTTCAGTCCGGGCCAATAAGACTGATTGATATAAGTTTGAACAAAACTTGAAAAAATGTTGTAAAATAAATAAAGTTAATTTTAGCTTTGCATTGTAGTTTGATTCTACTCTGTCCAGGTTGCTGATCTTTCTTATAAATTTTATATAAATCAGACACCAGCGTACACGTGTCCTTGAGGTATACGCTCCGACCTCCAACCCTGAATGATTGTAAAGACGTTAAGGATCTCAACTTTAAGAAGTTTACAAGTACCTGGTTGTCTGTCTCAGCAAAGGGCATTGAGTAAGTATTGATCACAAAGGTAGAAATGACAATACAAGGCTTCTACATACCATCTGTGAACAATGGAACTGACATAGATTCTACACACCATCTGTAAACAGTAGAACTGACATAGATTCTACACACTATCTGTGAACAGTAGAACTGACAGATTCTACACACCATCTGTGAACAGTAGAACTGACAGATTCTACACACCATCTGTAAACAGTAGAACTGACATAGATTCTACACACCATCTGTGAACAGTAGAACTGACAGATTCTACACACCATTTGTGAAAGGTAGAACTGACAGATTCTACACACCATCTGTAAACAGAAGAACTGACAGATTCTACACACTATCTGTGAACAGTAGAACTGACAGATTCTACACACCATCTGTAAACAATAGATCTGACAGATTCTACACACTATCTGTGAACAGTAGAACTGACATAGATTCTACACACCATCTGTGAACAGTAGAACTGACATAGATTCTTAACACCATCTGTGAACAGTAGAACTGACAGATTCTACACACTATCTGTAAACAGTAGAACTAACATATTCTACACACCATCTGTAAACAGTAGAACTGACAGATTCTACACACCATCTGTGAACAGTAGAACTGACAGATTCTACACACCATCTGTGAACAGTAGAACTGACATAGATTCTACACACCATCTGTGAACAGTAGAACTGACAGATTCTACACACCATCTGTGAACAGTAGAACTGACATAGATTCTTAACACCATCTGTGAACAGTAGAACTGACAGATTCTACACACCATCTGTGAACAGTAGAACTGACAGATTCTACACACCATCTGTAAACAGTAGAACTGACATAGATTCTACACACCATCTGTAAACAGTAGAACTGACATAGATTCTACACACTATCTGTAAACAGTAGATCTGACAGGTTCTACACACCATCTGTGAACAGTAGAACTGACAGATTCTACACACCATCTGTGAACAGTAGAACTGACAGATTATACACACCATCTGTGAACAGTAGAACTGACAGATTCTACACACCATCTGTGAACAGTAGAACTGACAGATTCTACACACCATCTGTGAACAGTAGAACTGACAGATTCTACACACCATCTGTAAACAGTAGAACTGACAGATTCTACACACCATCTGTAAACAGTAGAACTGACATAGACTCTAAACACCATCTGTGAACAGTAGAACTGACAGATTCTACACACCATCTGTGAACAGTAGATCTGACAGATTCTACACACCATTTGTGAACAGTAGAACTGACATAGATTCTAAACACCATCTTTCGGCAGAAGAACTGACAGATTCTACACACCATTTGTAAACAGTAGAACTGACATAGGTTCTACACACCATCTGTGAACAGTAGAACTGACATAGATTCTAAACACCATCTGTGAACAGTAGAACTGACATAGATTCTAAACACCATTTGTGAACAGTAGAACTGACATAGATTCTAAACACCATCTGTGAACAGTAGAACTGACAGATTCTACACACCATTTGTGAACAGTAGAACTGACATAGGTTCTACACACCATTTGTGAACAGTAGAACTGACATAGGTTCTACACACCATTTGTGAACAGTAGAACTGACATAGATTCTACACACCATCTGTGAACAGTAGAACTGACAGATTCTACACACCATCTGTGAACAGTAGAACTGACAGATTCTACACACCATTTGTGAACAGTAGAACTGACATAGATTCTAAATGCCATCTTTCGGCAGAAGAACTGACAGATTCTACACACCATCTGTGAACAGTAGAACTGACAGATTATACACACTATCTGTAAACAATAGATCTGACAGATTCTACACACCATCTGTGAACAGTAGAACTGACATAGGTTCTACACACCATCTGTGAACAGTAGAACTGACATAGATTCTACACACCATCTGTGAACAGTAGAACTGACATAGGTTCTACACACCATCTGTGAACAGTAGAACAGTAGAACTGACACAGATTCTACACACCATTTGTGAACAGTAGAACTGACATAGGTTCTACACACCATTTGTGAACAGTAGAACTGACATAGGTTCTACACACCATTTGTGAACAGTAGAACTGACATAGGTTCTACACACCATTTGTGAACAGTAGAACTGACATAGGTTCTACACACCATTTGTGAACAGTAGAACTGACATAGGTTCTACACACCATTTGTGAACAGTAGAACTGACATAGGTTCTACACACCATTTGTGAACAGTAGAACTGACATAGGTTCTACACACCATTTGTGAACAGTAGAACTGACATAGGTTCTACACACCATCTGTGAACAGTAGAACTGACATAGGTTCTACACACCATCTGTGAACAGTAGAACTGACATAGGTTCTACACACCATCTGTGAACAGTAGAAACAGTACACACCATCTGTGAACAGTAGAACTGACATAGATTCTACACACCATCTGTGAACAGTAGAACTGACATAGGTTCTACACACCATCTGTGAACAGTAGAACTGACATAGGTTCTACACACCATCTGTGAACAGTAGAACTGACATAGGTTCTACACACCATCTGTGAACAGTAGAACTGACATAGGTTCTACACACCATTTGTGAACAGTAGAACTGACATAGATTCTACACACCATTTGTGAACAGTAGAACTGACATAGGTTCTACACACCATCTGTGAACAGTAGAACTGACAGATTCTACACACCATTTTTGAACAGTAGAACTGACATAGATTCTACACACCATCTGTGAACAGTAGAACTGACATAGGTTCTACACACCATTTGTGAACAGTAGAACTGACATAGGTTCTACACACCATCTGTGAACAGTAGAACTGACACAGGTTCTACACACCATTTGTGAACAGTAGAACTGACCTAGATTCTACACACCATCTGTGAACACTGACCTAGATTCTACACACCATTTGTGAACAGTAGAACTGACAGATTCTACACACCATCTGTGAACAGTAGAACTGACATAGGTTCTACACACCATTTGTGAACAGTAGAACTGACATAGATTCTAAACACCATCTGTGAACAGTAGAACTGACATAGGTTCTACACACCATCTGTGAACAGTAGAACTGACATAGACTCTAAACACCATCTGTAAACAGTAGATCTGACATAGATTCTAAATGCCATCTTTTGGCAGAAGAACTGACTAGAAAATCTGGACTTTACTTGGTTTGATTTTATTTCATATATTTGTACTAAAGATGTGTAAATGAAGATTTCTATCTATCTGAAAGTATTTGAGTTTCTGTGGTTAAATGAGAAAGAAGTTCTGACAAGTTGAGGAATGATAGAATTTGTGCTATATTAGGTTATTTACATTGCAGCCTAAGGAAACACATAGACTTTGAGACAGTAATCAAACGAGATTTTGAGGAGCCATATTGTATCACGGACGTAAACAGCCAATTAGACCTAGATAGTTTGCCAGGTATCACACACAGTGAGACTCTCAACTACTTTGCTGAAACTGGACTTAAGGAGGTAAGACTGAAGTTCACCAGACTAAAGTGTCCTGTGTGGAAACCATTAGTAAACTCTGTCCTACTAAATAACACTCTTTAACTAGGTATTATGACATAATCAGATCACAGTGTGACTGTTGAAAGCCTGTTATGATATCACTTGATAAGAACTAACACCACCTCCTGACAATATAGATCATTACATACACTGGTCCTTATAAGGTATTGCATTTTATATTTAAGGTATAAATGTAATAAAGTACATCTGGCCTTGGTTCTTATAATGCATATTAGTTAGAATTTTTCCTAAATGTTTGTTCTGCATCGGTGTGGTCATTGCTGTGTGTTGACTAATGTTTCTAAATGTTGAGGAGAGAGGTCAATCAACTTAAAGGTATGCAGTATATAGATATGTCTTTCTCATGGATATAGAATATATGTTTACAACTTCAACAGACCTTTAACTCTGACCCAAATTCTCCATACTTAGGAAGAATATTCATATTCGACATATCCACATGTTATATGATTGACTTCACCAAACTCAAAGTTGTTCTTATAACAGTGATGACAATATTAATTCTGCTGAATTGAATCTAGAAGGGAAAAAATTATCAGGGGAAGCAACTCCTTTGTGGTAGAAGTAACTCGTTACTGATCATGAGTCTCTTATTTATACAGGTCCTCCAGAAGCTGGGAGGGGAGTCTCAGCCAGTTGGAGTCATAGGCACCAGGGTTGCTCATGCATTGAAGAAGGTAGAACTGATCACTACATTAAGTGTAGCTCAAGAATCTCTTTATTTGTCATGCCATGATTATACTGTAAATAGGTCAGTCTTAAATCCTCTCTATATGTTGGTGCTCTCGCACACATTTCCATACCAAATTGTATAAAAAGAACAAATACTTGATGAAATCAATACAGATGTACACATTTTACGATCCATTATTTATGTTTCTTATTGCTAAGATTGTTTATAATTTTCTCTCCTTGTTTCATCATTGATAATTTTGTTCACATTAGAACTCGACATCATGGGTCCTGACTAACGTGGCTGCACTATACTGGAGAGTGGAAGGGGACGCTAAGAGGGCCATTCAGTGCCTCCGCCTCTCTCTCACCACAGCTCCAACTGAGGTCAAGGTCAGTGTCACCATAGTAACATACTACATTCAAAACATACCTATTATATATGAACAAGCTGTGGTTGTTACTGACAGTCATTGCATACATGCCATATGTTTTATAAACCAGCAAGGAAGTATACCTGGTAGTAATTTATTTTTAGGAATTTTTGCCTTTAATAGGGAAATGACACATTTATCAACATTTTTACTTAATAGTTTAAAAAAGAAACCAATTTGAACAAATTCTGAACTTTATAAATCTGTTCAGGGGGTATGATACATATCACTTACCATTACCTGTTACATGTATGATTTGTCTTGAGGAGCTGTAGCATTCATATGATGACTGTTAATTGTCTTAATTGCCTGCAACGTGAAGTGTAAATTTTCTCCGATGACCCTGGCTGGGACTTTCGCATTTTTAAATCAACAAAATCTAATGATTCAGAGAATTGATCTGTTTTATTGGTGATTTGTGTTTTTGTGTAACATTCATATATCTCATCAGATATTTAATTCTGTAGGAACATTTTCTGATTTCTGAACTCCTTAATAAAGGTGGTTCATTTACTGAGTTCCACTTTTCATGGACAGAAAGAATCATGTAAATTTGTATGACATTGATTGGATAAAAAATTAACTGATGATTTACAGTCAAATCCTCTCACTGGTTGTAGGATAGATTTTTTGTTACAAATTACAGGTACTTTACTTAACAATATCTTTATCCTAACATAATTGATATCAGTTTTGTTTGTATTTCTCAGGACACGTCCCTAGTGAGTATCGCAAATGTCCTTCACAGAGCTGGCTACATTAACGACGCCATTGTTGCCACAGATCTAGCTCTGCATATTTCCAAGCAACTGGTTGTTAGCCATTTTACAATGGCCAATCTGTATGCTGCAAAGGTAAATCCATGTTTATGCTTGATAACTTTGTAAAATTTTAAATCAAGCACTTATTTCTTAATACCAGTCTAGAAATTCCAAATGCTGTAGTAATGATAGTGAGAGATAGTAAGAGATGACCAGGCTTGCTTCCTGCTGTATTTGATCAATGTTTACATAATTATAATTCATTGCAGAGATGGTTTTAACTATTTCACTGTATATTGACTTGGTAAGATTGGAATCTGACTTACATGTAGTTTTTTAATATTTTCAAGATAATTCCCCTTCAACTCTCTATTATGACTTCATTGACTGTAAATTTTTGTCCTTCATTTCAGGAACAATGGGAGCAAGCAAAAATGTTTTACGAGTCAACCCTCGGTCTTCAAACTTCCTTTGAACCTGCTAAACAGCGTCTGAAGTCAATAATGTGTAAAATACTCAAGTCATAACCACCTATATATTGTGTATATTTATTATCTTGTCATTTTTTGTTATCCACCAGTTTATACTGTCCCACAAGGAACCATTTAGATATTCAGTCTTTTATATATATGTTGAAAAGTTGGTTTTCCAATTTTTTGTACTTTTGATTTACGTACAGGAGTATAGCAAATTTTGACAGCTCCTCCACTGATGTATGTTTATATGAACACATCTAATTTATCTGACTATCTTACATACTGCAAAATGGCTTTCAAAGAAATATTTCTTATCCTTAGCTATCATAAAATGTTATGAATATATTTTGCAATGGGCATTTTTATTTAGGTGAACAATCTGGTTTATTTATCAAGTATTAAAGCAGGCTTTCAGCGTCTTTGTACAGACACCAAAGAAACTAAATATTTCATCAGTGATTATTTCTTCTGCAACCATTGAAATTGTTTTCACAGATTTAAAAAAATAATGTGTCTCCATTTTCTACACAGAAACCATGACTTATTGTTATAGGGAAATCAACACCTGAAATTGTTGAATGACACGAGATATAAAATGTTAATTGAAACATTTCACATCATTTTCCATCCATCACCATGTCCAGTATTAATGGTCATGACACCTACATGGCATTATTTTTCACAAACTTTCCCAGTATTTTATATTATGACACCATACTAACTTGTAGCTGTTCTATGCAGATGGCCTCGTTAAGACTAAGTCGATCACCCTTGTTGATCAGAGGGGGGAAACTTTCCTAGAAAAAGGCAACAAGTTAGTGGTCATGCTTGGTCTAAAGTTATCTTTTAAAATGTATTAAATGTTATTAACAGGGTACCTCATGTTATGAGGATAGTTTACTTCAGGTCAGTACTGACTAAAACTGGTCAGGTCCACTGACCAACGGTCAAGGAGTTTGTCTTGATTGGACCATAGCTGATGAATAGTAATGTTTATTTATCACATGGCCTTGTGTGTATGTTTTTTGTTTGTTATAAATTATTTCTGTTTTTTTATTTGAATGTGTAAAATTTGTCATTTTCTCCTGATTAATTTATTAAGTTTTTCATGATGATAATCAGTTCAGTTAAAAATGGACTTTGAAACTAATTTGTAAATTAAAGTTCAAATTTCTTCAAATTAAACGTGGTTTAAATTGAATTCACTGATGGAGAGTGTTCCTGATCACAATGAGCTATTGAATATCCTTTGTAGTTGATGCAAATAACAAGCATGTGAAGGATGGTAATAGTAAATCTGCAAAATTCTTATATGTCGTATTCATGATATGTATATTTAACAGTTGAAAATTTTTAAAAAGACAATGAAGTGCTCGTTATTTTTATGTCTTCATCCATACAACGAATCATTGTCCACTTACCTCTGTGATAACCAATAACTCTCGCACTTTTGCAATATTTATGTCAACATGCTTCAATTTCAATAACTATGTGATGTAATTCTTTGTAAATGACACATCATTATCGGTTAATCATCTCATGCTTACTCCCAGATATTTTGTCATTCTGCCTAAGCTTACAGCTGTTATCTCATTTCTTGTGAAAATTGCAAAACCAGACCTGTATATTATGATATAAATGAAAGTCTTACAAATGAGACTGGCAGCAGGTCTGAAGATTTGTCCTACAGAAAATTAATGAGGTTGGTTCTATAGTAAATGTACCGAAGGCATGTTGATTGTTTATCACAGAAATGTACAGACACATGTATGCAGGTAACTTTATAATTTTATCTTTTTTTAAAAAAATTATTTTAAGCTATTGAAAGTCCTAAAAGTTTTGTATTTTCTACAAATCCTAAATTGTCCCTTCTACAAATCCTAATTATTTTATGTATCCAGTCACTCCAGAATCAGTGATATGTGCCAAAATTTATTTCCAATGATTAAATCAATCAAATATGTCACAATATAATGTGTTACGTTGTTTGTTGATTATATTTTGATATTTTGTTGGGTGAAGGGACACCAAGAAAAGTGATAGTACATTATAATCCTGAATACTCCAAGAGAATGAGGGGCATATGGAATCATCCTGGCGTAGACATCTGCCTAAACACTCTGGAATCATAAAATTGAAGTTAAAGGTTCATGGGATGAAACCTGATATGAAAAGAAATGACCTTCACCTATATTCAAGGTGTTGAAGGTCAAATTTATCAAAACTTTCAAATAATTTCTCATTAACCAAAATACTTATAATATTGATATTTGACTGGAAGATTCCTTGAATGAAGACCAACAAAGTTTGTGAAAAGAAATGACCTTGACCCATATTCAAACCCTTCACATGACTTCTCATTAACCAAGACTGTTACTGTTAATTGTATGAAACTCTTGTTAATGTATTTGTTAAGAGCATCCAACACCAGGTGAGCAGGCTCATAAGACATCTTGTTGTAAGTAAACTTTTGCTTAGTTTTACTTTTGCTGTTAGTATGAAGAAATGTTCCAGTTCACATTGTGGGGGATCCAAACAGGTTAATTTGACTTCCATTCTCTTTTAATTACATTTTCAGAATATGCAATGTCACCATAGCTGAGGCACAGAATTTGGATAGCTGTGCGTCTTTGAATATCAATGTATCCACTTGATTGAAACTGTCATGACAGGAGCTGTTTGAGAACAGCTTGGCTCCCTTATTCATTTAATAGTGTTTGCACACAGTAATCAGGATAGAAAATCAGATTTAGGAAATCTCATGGCTTCCATTTGCTTAACATTTCATCACGTCTGCTAGCTTCAATTAGATCTTACTTGCATTGTCAGAGGCTTGATTTGAATTTAGCAAAATTGAAACCAAGTTTGACTGCACTTAATGGTGTATGGTTGATAATTTCCCTACAATCTAACACAATCAAGGATTGATGAGTTCCAAGGGAAAGAGTAAGTAAGAATCTTATTATCAAAGGACGAAATCGCAATTCAGTTCCGTGTTACGACCAGATATTTTGTTGGAGAGAAATTAAATAACATGTTTATATTGAACTTACTTAATCACTACAGGTCAATATATACTCAACGAGTCTGAAGAACTGCAAGTGGAGAGTCGATATAGAAAAAAAGAGTTACCTCCCTTAGTACCTAAAAACGCTTGCATTGCTAACTTCGGTTCCATTAGGTGTCACCAACATCATCATATCCGGTAGAAAGTAATGATGGATGTTTTTCCTTTTACTTAATCCAGTCCTATCCATAATGGTAGCTCTGAATGTCAGGCAGAACCTGTCAGGTAGATGTATGTGTAATTGTCTACCAATCCTTAATGTTACCACCGCTATCTAGTATTTATAGCATACACAATATGAAGACTGCGATTTCAGCGAAGAAAAACTGGTTTATAATAACCTTCATTGTCTATCAAGGTTACCAATAACAATAACGTAGTATTTCACCCACGAAGGCGTAACCGCCAGCACAAGTTTCGAGACGTCTGAGGAGAAAAAAATTGCAGGAAGATCTTAGCTTTGTGCTGTCACTGACGACAATAAAGAATTACGTGCGACATTCGTTAGCGCTAGTTGTACAGACTGGTGAGCGTGTTAAATTAATTTATCTTCGTGTATAACGTCTCAAGCTTTGACCAAACGGACAATTTATTGTTAAATTAGATTTGTCTAGTTTTGTGAATCATCAAGCCTTTCACTTGGGTGTCGAATATTGTAGCAGTGTTTAATTTTGCGAGGCAAATACTTCCCGGTTTAGGCTAGATCACTGTTAATTTCGCGCTTGTCGATCTATCTTTCACGTGCATAGCATATTATCTAATATTTTGATTCAACGTAAAAAAAATACTTTCTTGGTATTGACTAACACGCTGCTACTTTCCCGCGAATAACACCAAATGTACAGTCGTGGTTTTCACAATTTAATGGTTTTTAATGCCTCATAAAAGCTTCTACCATTTTACACGACAAAACGTGGAATGCTGATACGTAGTCTTTTCATCAGTTGGATCTGTGAATACCTGCCTGAAGTACTTAGTAGAGGAAGTTACAGTACTGGTTTACTTCCTGGACACTCTACGGATTTAAAAACAATTCCACAGCAATGTTAATGAAAACTGATCATGAATTCAAATTGTTTTACTTTCTCAAGGTAGGGACTCGCAACTATCATATATTATTGGCCACACCTACGTTTGGACACCTTTTTAACAGTTTAGCAGCTTGTAGTATACTGCTTCAGATGACTAGTAAATGTACAATAGGTGAAGCGTATTCTAGCTCAGGTGTGCCCGTATTACCTTCCGTTATCAATGATATTAAATTGAGATTTCAACCTGTGGCTTTCGTACAATTTTATTACACAGTATCTGTGAAATGCATTAACGAATCATACTTAAGCTGTAGACTACAATATATCCCGATGATTTTTATTGCTGAAATAAAAGAACAGTATTGGGTTGCCTCGGAAGTATCCTTATCTTAAGCAGATGGCAATCCGCTCGTTCCGTACGGTGATGACATACTTATCACATTATCATGGCGGGTAGTGACCTTTTACCAAGGATGTCAGAGAAATGGACATGCGCAGAGATTTTGTTCGATCCATCAGTTTTAGATAAAATACTGTGACTTTTCCAGCTCATACAAATCTTTCAATGATTAACGATGCTGTGTTAACTAGTAAAAGAAAAAAAAATTCCGAATTCCACAACATTCCTTAAAAACTTGAGATTCGTTAATTCAAGAGTGTTTTAGTCACTCGCGGAAAATGTCAGGTCAAGGGTTGTGGGGTCAAGACCAAGGTCACTCTTACTTTTTTTTATATAAATCATTGTCAGCCATCTAGAGGTTTAATTTTTTCAATGGATTTTGATAGATTTTCACACGCTTAAAATGGACAAATTATCTCAGACATGTTTCTGGGTTGTAAGGTCAAATTCAAGGTCACTATTACAATCTTTGCAGCTTGTCAGCTCTTTAGTGGCTTCGTTCCTTGTAAGGATTCCAATCAAACTTTACAAAATATAAAATGACCTTAACATTACGTTTTATTAGTTTCAAGGTTTTAGGGTCAATGTCACCATTTGAGAAAACCCTTCTCAACACTTTAGAGGTTTCATTCGTTTTGGGATTTCGATCGAACTTAGAAAACTTGTCATCTTTTTATCTTGCACTTCAGTCAAGGTGGAAAACCCGAGGGGATTTGTATCGTTTATGATGTCTCGTTTGGATATTCCGTTTCAGTCTTTGAGTCCTAATAAATGTCTGCGATTAGGGTTATTGTACTCGGGTGTTCACACGGCCATCACCATATATTATATACATGTAACCCAGAACTACGTTTTCTCACCGTCTAAGAGCCCTTCGATTCTTCTGTTAAAGGGTTATATTAAACAGGAATACGGGACCAGGAAACGTCTTAACAACGTTCCGATAAACATAAGGAAGGAGTTTGTGAAGCAAGTCTTTTTGATTGCGAGTACTGCAGAGATAACATATAAATAACGAGGAAGGTATAACAGTAATATAGGGCGATCTCCTATTCATATAATGGTGACGTCACTAAAGCCATACGTTGTCATCTATATCTCCAACACGTGCGTTTTATTTACAGTATGACGTTAAGGCACATCAATTTGCTGCAGATTCGTACATTTTCTGGCACTGAAATTTACCAATTACTTTATCATTTCCTTGTTGCATCACTTACGACACGACTTCTTTCTGAACCGAAGAAAAAACACACACCAAAGACGTGTACCGCATCTTCAGACCAGGTGATTCCAGGAATTGGATCAGTCTCTCTATTGTTGGGTGAATAGATGGGTCACCAAGGTGGAGGAATTCAGACTAAGTTAAGTAGAAACAAATATTCACAATATACATCTACGTGCTTTTCAAAATAGTCTGTTTGTTGAGTTCAATGTTCCGTGTACAGTCCTTGTTGTAACTGGTTTTACAGATATATATATCTTCCAGTGCCAACTCTTCAATTACGGTTTTGATTGGACAATGGAATCCTCACGGATACACATATATGGTCTTGTCTTTGCACAATCGCTTGTGTCGTTGTAGTTGTAAAACTGTAAGCCATAGTTTCTGACAGGTAGCACATTCAAACTCCTTGATGTCAGACACGTGTTCCTTGTGCAGATTGACACGCATGGTCTCGTCATACCGTCTCATGGATTTATATATTGCATATGCATTGCCATTTTCCTGCAGGTCCTACATGTCAATAACGATGTTATATGTACTTCAAAATTCTGGGATGTAATACCACGGAAATGATTTCCCTTAGTTTCTTCCCAACGTCCAAGAGAGCGACCGGTCTCTGCTTCCAGACTTCTGGTCTTAAATCTTTTATGAAGAGGAAGACATGGAAGATACGCAGATGGTCGTCGTATGGCCTTCCTGTGTTAAGGCATGGGTAGCATATTGTTTAGAAGACAATATGGCTGATGTGTGATATAAGCTATTGGATACGGGGTATGGAACAAAATTTGGTGTCTGGATGAATGTTTGATAGTTCTGTGACGACGTCAAGTTTTCAAAGATGGAGACACAGACTGCGAAGATCTTATGGTTTTTTAATTGAAGGGCGTACTCATAACATTGCTGTTGTTGAACGGTCTAAAGAACCTGTATTCTACGCTCTCTTTGACATAAGATGACCTCAAATACAAGGTTGATTTCCCTACAAAATCAATCGAGCATATGTATCGTACACTTACATGCCCTAGAGGTTCGTCCGGCGTCCTATCTCCTAAAATGCCTGTCCGTCTGTCCAAGGTAACTTTTAACTGTTTAATGACCTTCAAGATTTCTCCCTCGTGTATTTCCTTGTCTAGGTCAGGAAAACTACATAACTATCATTTTTCTAAACTTCCAAAATACTTTTTAAGTGTGCATAAAAGTCGTTTATTGACAACTTTGTAGCAGCATTTGTCTTCTG